AATGCACTGAGGTACAAAACACGTGAATACAACACGATACAGAACACGCTTTCAGTAACAAGAATAAATATTACCATGTCTACAGTACCTACTTCACAGCTTTGTGTGATGAGGATAAATAAACTATTTCAAAACTTGAAAAAGAAAAAAGAGATGAGTATTACGAATAAATTTCGATTTTTAAATTAAGGCAGCTTCAGCAGGAATTTCAAGGCTTTTGTTGAAAACAGACTTTTTGTAACACCAAAGGCGTACTCACGCTTTGCAGCCAGAGCACTGATTTACCATCCAGTTCTCCTAATTTTGACGATCTAAACGAGCAAAGACATGTGCATCAAATACACATAACACTGGGTTTGCTCTTTGCAAAAGTCAGTGTTTTGTCAGTAGTTGTAACGTGGCAATTCTGAAAACCAGTTCCCTTCTCGGGCACGGCATCAAGGTACCTCGGAATGAATCGTTCACTCTATGTTCAAAAGGCAGACTGGAAATTCAGAATTTCAGGAAGCTGTTGCTTTTTTTTTAATGAGTGACCGATGAACAGGAATATATAAGGGAAGGGCTAATGAAAGCACTGAATGGGAAGCCCATACCAAAATAAGACCTTAAGAAAGGTGACATTCATAGCTACCTCAGACACCTAAAACAAAAACACATCCTAAAACTTTCCAGTAAAATACTGCAGGAGCTGGAGAGGGGATTTGTTTGGCTCATCCGAAGGGCTGGATGTGCGCTGCACCTTCCCTCCCCCCTCCTCTCAGCTCATACAAGGGTGAAAGCCAAATAACCGCACAACAAAGGGTACTTCAAGTATTTAGAAACACGGCCTGCATGTCTCACCGGTGGGATTCTGCACAAGCTGGGGATTTGTGCGGCTCCTGAAACAAAGCTGCAGCTTCCAGCAGTCCTAATGTATGTCGAAGGCACAATGTCATGTCCTGCGCATTTTTCTCTCTTCCTTCTGTATGGGTGCACACAAGACGACTGATGGTAAAGAGCAGTAAAATGGAAAGGAGTAGACAGAATGGTTATTTCGTGTGATCTTCATCTATTCCAATACGAATGGCATCATAATCACAAACACAAAAAACCCTCGTACGTACAACAGATATTAATCAGTTGCTTTGCTTTTTACAACACTGCCCACGTACACCCCTGTGCTTCTACACACCTTATGAAATGCTAGATTGGACGCACACGCTGAAGACACATTTCTGACCCGCTAAGAAAAAAAAAAAAATCACCGCTGCCTTCGCCTGCTCAGCTCTGACTTCTGAAAATAAAGCTGCCTCAAAATCCCATCGGCACCAAGGCTTTGGGCACGGAGGGTGGGAGGGCAGGATACTCACAGCTCCCGGTGCCACCTCTCCTCCCTCCCCTGGACGAGGCTGCATTGGGTCCGACAGGGTCAGCTAAGCTACTCATGGGCTTTACCTAGAAGAGGGTGTAAAAATATCATCTCCCCTTTCTCCGGGTCCTCTTGCATGCTGGGATTAGCGTGCGCGATGGCAGGCGTCCACGGCACACCCTTATCCGCTGGGCAAATAAAACTGAGAGGCCAATAACAGGGATACTACCTACATGTGTGTGTGTGTATATATATATACACACATACATATTTTTATATGTATACATACATAAGTTACACATACATAAATTTTCCGACTAGTACAGTACAGGCTATCTCTGAATTACCTCATCTGGGAGCTGGAGGTTAAGGATGACACCTATCTGACCTCTATATCCTTTGCATTTTGTCTCTCTCCCCCTCAGGCTGAAGCAAAGCTTAGGTGAGTTTGTGCCTTGCAAAGCACAGCTGTCCAGTGGCTTTTGAAGAATTGCACTTGGAGTAATTCAAGTTTCTGTAGTTCAAAAATGTCTACCCTGCTTTTCCCGATGCTTGTGCATGTACCAGCATAACTCAAAAAAATTGACCACAGTGTAACCGTGTACGAGTTAAACTTTTCCTCTGGAAAATGCAACCGGAGGTCAGCAGCTGGGAACCAGAAAACAGCCTATGTGAAGGTAAAATAAATAAATAAATAAATAAACCGTAAAATGAAACTTCTGGGTAAGGCTGTAACGGACGGTTTAACCCGATGCGTTCATTGTGGAGGTACTTCCATCAGTGCTACCCATTTCACTGCTCCTGCTGACTGTGAGGAAGGGATTTGCTTCATCTCTTTGTGTCTCTCCGTACAGAAAACTGAGTCACGCAACTGCCTTCTAGGCAGGACTGGTTTTGCAGATCCATATATGAGTCAATGTTTGCACGGGTCTGAGAAGATGCCGAGTGCCACAAGAGCTTATCCTACCACCTAGAAATCCCTCTGGCCTCCCCTCCCAAAGGCATTTGCTCTCGTTCAATACTGTAAGTTCTGCTGGGTGGGACATCCTGGAAGAAAAGTGTCATTGTAAGGCAAGACACCTGTACATCCACATGCTTCTGAACCACGGATTACAGCTCACACACCTCGTCAGCTGGGCTATCGGTGTTTCCAGGACAAGCGACTTGGTGAGATGTTCGGTCATGAGTGATGTTTTAAACGGCCTTTTCCATTTCATACGCATTTCATGGCGAAGTTCTGGATGCTCCTAACTCTCTTCTGGATGGAAATTTTCATCTGTCCCTACGGCCACTCAGCCGCCCTCAACTCCTCCTTTCCAAAGGGGTTTATCTCCAGCATCCTAAAACATTTAGGGCTGTTTGCTCAGCAGTTGCTTGAGTCTCAGTACTGATCCAAAAGCTGCTGAAGAGCTGGCTGCTGCTCAGCTTTAGCCCTGGGGTGGGCTATTTTTTTACACGCAGGAGTCTGGATCCTCCATCCTCACCAGGTGTGACAGGCTGAGACCACAGCACTGGAGATGCTCATCATCCGACAGCCAACCAGGCGCGGTACCAAAGCCATCCTTCACCCCCGAGTATTGATTTTAAAATGATAATATAATAAAAAGCCCGTTACAAAACCTAGGAGTACTAAAAACATTTCCAGTATTTCTTTTAAAAACAAAATTGTTCTGCTGCTGGGTTTACAATCCAACCACTGCTGTGTTGGATTTAGTGTACAAGGACTTAACAGCAAAACTGATTTTTTCTTTTTTTTTTTTTTTTGAAAGCTTTCTACTTTGTGTGGCTTCTGGAAAAATTGGAGCTGTAAAGTCACATTAGTGAGAATCCAAGCGTAATCTGTAACAAAAGTAAGGCAATTTTGTGGTTTTAAAAAAAAAGGGACTTTGAGCTGAAAATGTCCATTTAACTGCCAGTAGATGGCAAAAATATCCCGTATTTGTCTTTGTTACCTAAAATGATTAGTACAAAAGGCTTAAAATGTTGTTCTCTTAGCTGCTTCTTATAGAAACCTGCAGGAAGTAAAAATTAAAGTGCAACTGTACAAAAAAAAAACCTAGCAAAAACGGGTCATAACAGGCTATCAAAAAAGATGGATTAAATTTTTTCATAAGTTGAATCACTGCATATCTGGGACCAGCAAAAGTTCTCCTTTGCTTTGTTTCTTAAAACAAACAATAAAAAAAAAGAAAAAAAAAACAAACCCACCCAGGATTTTTTTGGCAAAGTTTTTAAAACGCATTTGTTCCTTGACTGATTAGACTATTCTGTTCCTTCACAATCAAATGGAATTCAGCAGGGTTGCAAAACCAAGCAGATGCCAACGCTGCCCATTAGATTAAGCCTACGTAATCAAAAATAAGAATTCTTTTAAACAAAGAAATCATATATGCATTAGAGCTTACCCTTGAATAACAAGAATTTAACTTTAAAAATCCCTGTAGTTTGTCTTAAAAATTTAAATCCTGTCTTTCAGATAGCCAGTGGGAAAGAAAACGGGAAAAAAACCTCTGAATTCAGATATCCCTGCCTTATCAGCGGTGCGGCGAAGGTCACAGTCCGGTGAGCAGCAGTGGGACAGGAGAGCCCTTCGGCACAAAAAGTGAGTCTCCAGAGGGAGCTGCGCCTGGGGAAGGCAGGGGAGGCAGATTTGGCAGCGATTTTAGGATGATGACAGCAACAGGCGAAGGCTCCCTACAGGAAAGGCGAAAGGTAAACGCTCCGGAGCTGCACGATGATGATCCCCCACCCTCGGGTGATGGGTGGGCAAGGAGGTGGGTTTTCAAGGTGGCTTGTTGGCACCTTGGCTGAATCCTTCCCGGGATTTGGCCCTGGGAGCTGGTGGGGCCACAGGCAAGGGTGTTGGGAAGGGGGAGGGGGGTGATGTTTAAAGGCTGGGAAAAAGGTGAGCAGCCTTCACCTTTGAAGGTGGTGAGGAGGTCAGTGCTGCTCAGGGCTTTCAGGAGGAGGAGGAAATAAAGCATTCTACGGGAAACTCCTCTGCAAAGACTTGACACGGGGAGGCTTCCCCATGGCATGTCTGCAGTAGGACCTTTGCGCATCCCACCTTCCCTCCCCATCTTTTACAAAGGGGAAAAATCCAGAGGGGAGGGATGGAATATTGCACTAGTGCGGAAGCATCTCAGTAGCTGCTAATTTTAGGAAGAAAGTGTTACCAGAGGCCAGGAGCCCTGCTGGCACCTGGATGCAAAAGCCACAGAGCTGCTCCATTTCACGGAGCATCTGGTCAACTCCTCCAACCCAGCTCGGCCCACCCAGCCTCTGCTCTGCACAGCAAAGGATGCAACATCAACCTCACTGCATGCTGCCTACATCGCAGAAAGCTTGGCTGTGGCTCCAGGATGAACCAGGGGGCAGGTGTTTTCCAAAAACTCGTGGTGCGTTTGCTACTTGACAGCCATGCCAACATTTGCCATTTGGTTCACTAGGGGGGAAAAAAAGGAAAAGGTATTGGATACATTTCACCACGGTATAACGAGTGAAATGAAGTTCTTCTTTGTGCCTTGTTAGACGGGAATATGTTTTGGGTCTGGAACTGGCTGTGGAGCAGCGAGGGGCAGAGGAAGAATGAAGCAGAAAAATCAAGGAAGGGACCAGATCCTCCCAGTGCAATACCGTGTGCGGGGGAACATCAGCGAGCCAGGGCCATGATCAGGCTGGCACACATCTCGAAGAAGTCCATGGTGTGGCTGCCCAGGCGTGGTGTCACCGAGGGGATGCTGCCAACGAAGGAGCCGCTGAGGGAGCCCATCAGTGACTGGCACTCGGCGGCCGCAGCGCTGTCAATGCTCAGCCTGGGTCGGTGCAAGCCGGCGGCAGAGCAGGAGCGCTGTGGCGTGGATGAGCCAGACCTCTGCTCCATCACTTCGTCTTGAATATAGGAAAAAAAAAACCAACAAGAGATGAAAAGAGAAAAAATATCGTTTGTTCGGCATCTGTTTGTTTGCTCAGGAACTAGTAAGAACGGTGGAAACAAATGGATCGCAAGGGCTTTCGCTGACTTGAAATAGCCCCACGAGCATTTCGAAATGCAAAGAACGATCTTTAATTCTTTTTTAGACTTCCAAACGTCGTATTATATGTTTTACATCTTGTGTGTTCCTGCTTACCATCAATGCTTTTGAAATCCAAGAGATAGCTGCGGTTGTCAACCTGGTAGAGCTGCAGGCTCATCTTCACATAATTGCCTGTCACTGGGTTCTTGCGGCGCACTCTGAGATGGTAGGAGTTCACCACCTGCAATGGGAAATTTTCGGGAGTAACATTCCAGGTAGCAAGAAGAACAAGAACGTTTGGGGTTTTTTTGTTGTTTTTTTTTTCTTTTTCTCCTCTCCTCTAAATACCAGCAAGACATCTTCTGAGAAGAACACAGCTTCTAGAAAGAACAATGCCTACAAAATCAAGCAAGTGGCTTCACATCCTCTTTCCAATCTATTTTTAAATATGCTTCTTAGGGCTCTGATTCACCAGCTGCTGGCAGAGGAAGCTGTCGTCACCTGCCTTGCTCCGCACCAACTGATGTTTGCTCCTCCCTCACCAGCACCAATGGCCACATGAGCCAAAAAGTCCACTTGTGGACCTGTGTATGAGGACCATGCTCCTGAAACCAAGACAGGCTGGGCAGCTGGGGAGGGCAACCTCCCCCATTGTCGCAGCTAAATTCAGTGTTCGTGAATCAGCCTGAGCTATGGGTGAGAAAACACACACAGCCTCTTCCCACCTCAATCTGCCGCATCTCATTTGCAACGACAACTTTTCTCTGTGCTGTGTTTCCGATGCAACTGCACGGAGGGGAAAGCTATTTTCATCAAGAATCACATCTGAAGTCATTTTTAGGGTGGGAAAGACTATTCCGAAACCTCCTCACACAAATTAAGCTCCACTGCCTACATGAAGATGTTGGGCTGACTTGTCTTGTGAAGCTGTACCAGAAATACATCAGGTTTGTTCCTTCTCTGGAAAAACAGGCAGCTAACAAATGTCTGGCTGGTGTAGGCACATGCAACTGGAGACAGTCCATCTCCTCACTGGTGCATGCTTTAAACACATAATATTGTAAAAAATGGAGTGAGGAGGGTGTCTCCACTGCTGACAAGGACTGAAATTTTCCTTACCTTGCTCCTGATGTTTGCTCAAAGCTGCTGTAAAAGGCCATGAGTCAGGATTGCTCACCTCAGCGACTGTACCAAGATTTAGGGAGCAAATATTCAGGGCTAACTCAGGGATTTATTCATAAGACTTTGAAAGAGATCGTGATTAAATGCTCCGTAGCTCTGAAGAAATATCTGGAGTGAGTACTGTCAACTAAAATGCTCTAAATCAAGCTTCAAGAAGCTAAGCCCTAAAGCAGGGAAGCAGTAAGTGTCTGAAAACACATCTGGTCCGTAAGCACCGCTCTGTCTCCATTGAAAAAATGCCACCACGTCAACAGCACAAACTCCTACACTCAACAGCCCCCAGCCCCTCAGCTGCACATCTTTTAAGAAGATGCACATCGTGCCATTTCAGCACACACAACTGTGAGGATCCAAGCAAAAATGAGGAGTTATTTCGCTCAGGAGCACCTGAGATGACCTCGCAAGGAATTAGCCTCTAGAATTTGAAATGTGACTGGCTCCTCTTACCCCCCCTTTCTAGTCAGGGGCTTTGTGCATTAAGGAAGAAAACTCTTATTTGACACCATAAATGAATACCACAGATATCAAATATCAGCTAGACTCTTAATTCAGCATGTTTGTCTTAGTGCAAAGTAACAGGGATGATCGCAAGGTGTGGGCATTTATCTGCAAGCAGGTGAGGCTGTAACCTCCCTGAGCAATTCACAGAATCATAGAATAGTTTCAGCTGGAAGAGACCTTGAAGATCATCGAGTCCAGCCGTATCAACCTACTAAACTATGTCCCCCAATGCAACATCCACCCTGCTCTTAAACACCTCCAGGGACAGTGACAACCACCTCCCTGGGCAGCCTGTTCCAATGGCTGACAACCCTTTCAGTAAAGAAATTCTTCCTAATATCTAACCTGAATCTCCCCTGGCGCAATTTAAATCCATTTCCGCTTGTCCTATGACTCTCCACTAGGGAGAACAGACCAACCCCCGCCTCTCTACAACCTCCCTTCAGGTAGTTTTAGAGAGCAATGAGGTCTCATGAGACCCCTGAAAACCACCACGAAGCACCAGCACTCCCTACCTTCCACTCGAAGTCCAGCTGCTTCATGGCACGGTACACCTCGGCCATAATGTCATAGGGTTTGCTCTGGCTGCGGATTCCCAGGTGCCACTTGGCCTTTTTGACAGTCAGGGGTTTGGGTTTCGTAGTGTTGAGGGCATCCAAAGGACATCGCGCTTTGGGGCTGTCCGCTATCAACGGCGGCATCCTCTCGGGGTGAGGCTTCACCCCAGGAGGGATGTGCATGGCGCTGTCGTCCATGAAGGAGACGGTAGGAGGGCTGGAGGCGAGGTAGAACTCGCTAGCTTGGTTCATGATCCTCCGGTTGTCGATGACGAGGTGGTACGCAACCGCCAGCTGGTCCTGAGGGTCTCCGCTGTACAGGCTGTTCATCACCTCTGACTCAGTGCACTCAAACTTTTCACAAACTTCCCGAACCGCGTCGTCGTCAATGACGGTGGCGTCATAAGAAGGGTCCTCCGGGAACAGATAACTGGGAAGCTCCTCCTTAAACCACTCGTGTTCCCTGGGGGAAGGCAGAGAGGAGCAGCTGTGAGCTCTGTGCAAGGCAAGCTGGGGCAACCACGGCCACTCGTCTCTCATTTTGTCTAGCTAAAACTAATTCTCAGCTGCAGATTGGGGAGCTCAACCCAGCTCTGCTCGGTCTCCCCAGTACTGCAACAACGATGACACTTCATAAGCACGGCTGCTTGCACCCTTGGCTCTGAAGTAAGACCTCAGCACTAAGGAGATGCTCATGCCTTTTGTTTATTATGGGACTGAAAGAGATAGAGAGCATCGAAGCTATCCAGGCACCTGATCCCCACCTGATTTACAATGAAGTCAGTGATAATTACGTGGCTAACTGCCATAGAGAGCCTTGCCCATCGGTTCTACGTATTAACTGCAATCTCGCCACATGTGCTGCTGCTGCTCTAACGTGTAATTAAATCCTCTAGTCCTAAGGAATTAAGAAATAAAAAAGATGTTTTACTTGAAGGGTAAAATTAAGGCCATTCATTACGAATGCATTAAAAACTTGATAACTCCTGTAAGTCCTAGTAACATTTATGCATAGGCTAAGCACACCAGCTACATGTAACAATTACCATAAATTTCATAAAATGCATATCAGACTCTGGTTTTACAAAATGTTTCTAAAATGGCTCAGATTGTAAGAATTTTGGAGTCCTCCTACCAGCCATAAGCTCTAAATGATCTCTGCAGGCACAAATATCATCTGATCCAACCTCCCTGCCATGGGTAGGGACGCCTCTCAGCTAGACCAGGTTGCTCAAAGCCTCATCCAACCTGGCCTTGAACAACT